CAATACTATCTTCTATTCCTTCTACTTTCTTCATCCCTGATTTGAATACAAATCATTTATATTTATTTTCTAACTACCTACTGGGCTTTCCTGGTGGCTCAGACAGTAAAGAATCTGCCTGCAATGCTGGAAACTCGGGTTCAATCCCTGGGTCAGGAAGAATCTCTGGAGAAGGGAATGGCAACCCACTCCAGTCTTCTTGCCTGGAGAATTCCATAGACAGAGGAACCTGGCAGGCTACAGTCCATGGGGAACTGATGCTGAAGATCTAGTACTTTGGCCACCTGATGCAAAGAACTGACTCACTGGAAAAGACCCAGATGCTGGGAAAAACTGAGGGCAGGAGGAGGAGGGGGTGACAGAGGATGAGATGGTTGGATGGAATCACCAACTCAATGGACATGAGTTAGAGCAAACTCTGGGAGATGGTGAAGGACAGGGAAGTCAGCTGTGCTGCAATCCACGGGGTTACAAAGAGTCAGACACGACTTAGCGACTGAACAACGACTGTGTACTGGCTCAGCAGTAAAGAATCCACCTGCAATGCAGGAGACATAAGAGACGTGGGTGAGATCCCTGGGTTGGGAAGATCCCTTGGAAGAGGGCATGGCAACCCACTTCAGTGTTCTTGCCTGAAAAATCCCATGGACAGAGGAGCTTGGTGGGCTACAGTCTGTGGGGTCACAAAAGAGTCAGACAAGACTTAGTGACTGAGCACAGCATGGCAATGACCTACTATCTGAAGCTGATCTCATTATATTCTGCAAAGAAGTCCCATCCATCAGTCCATTTCTATCAGTTCTGCTGTTATGCATTGAATCTGTTCTCCTAAAAAAGATATGTTGCAGCCCTCAGAATGTGACCTTATTTGGAAATAGGATCTTTACAGAAGTAATCAAGTTAAAATGAGGTCAGGCTTATAGATTTATATGACTGGTGTCTTTATGGAAAGAGGAAATTTGGGCACAGAGACAGACATGCATACAGGGAAAATATCATGTGAATAGGAAGAGACTGAGGTGATGCATCTTCAAGCCAAGGAATACTGAAGATGGCCAGCAAACCATCAGAAGCTGGAGAAGTATGAAACAGATTTTCCTCAGAGGTCTAGGAAGAAACCAACCCTGCTAGAACCATTATATCAGATTTCTAGGCTCCAGAAATGTGAGACAATAAATTTCTGTTCTTTAAGCCACTTGGTTTGTGGTACTTGTTATAGCAGCCCTAGCAAACTAATACAGTCACCAACCTTCTATTCCCCCAGGTTAGAAAACCTAGGCTCATTCTGAGTTCTTTCCTTTCTTCATCATTTACATCCAATCTGGTACTCAAGATTTTAGTTTATTTCCCCCCAAATGACTCTTGGCATTTTTAATCTCATACTCTCTGTTATGTTTTTTTCTTCTACCATTTTCTCAGTTCCTGTTGCCTTCACTAGTCCCAATCTTTATCATTTTATATCTTAATTCCTATAAAAGTCTCTGGCTTATCTTTCTCAATCCAAAATTATCTCCTAAAATATATAATTCATGTTGGTTTTATCATACAAATGCCATGATTAAGAGACATGCTTATAGTGACACATTGCCTACTATACTAAGCTTGGCATTCATGGTCCCCCATGGTTTAGACCCATCTTGCCCACTCAATCTTTTATACCCTTATTACACATCATCTTTATTTCCCTCTTTAAGCCCTACTCCTTTGCCTTTTCCCTCTCTGCATCAAGATGCTTTCTTACTTTTTTTGCCTTTTATCCAAACTTGTTCACTTTCAAGGCCTTAATCAATTTTCACTGATGGTGACTACTCTGGCCCACACTAATATCTCTTGCCCTTGCTGTGTTCTAATCAGTATCTTCCAGGTCAGCACCAAGTGGTAATTCTTACATTTTATGTGTATTTACATATATTACATCTTTATATCTATCAGCTTTTATGACACAATGCTTGCTAACTAATTGATCAACTCCTAAAGTGAGAATAATGGGATGTAGAAGGAGAAAAGGAAGGAGATTGGATACCAACTGAAGAGAAAACTTTGGCTAGAACATGGAGAATTAGTCTAAGTCAATGTTTTCTGAATGAGCTTCCTGGACCATGATCATAGAAATCATTCAGAATGCTTGATAAAATTTAGATTCCCAAACTCTATTACAGACCTATTGAATCAGACTCTGCAGCCCAGAAATCTGAATTTTAAAAGGTAACCCAGTGAGAGAGAGATACACACACACACACACACACACATATGTATTATATATATATTATATATAATACATATATATGTATACATACATACATATATACATATATATGTATTATATATATATATACACACACACCAAATATGAAAACCATCAGTTTAAGTGAAGAAAGCAGAAGATACATACTGAAAGGGAATAGCTATTCTTATGTTTACTGAGTACATGTACTTTCCATCATGGCTAACAATAGAATGAAATAGTTTCACACTATCATGATTTGCTTTGATGTGATTCTCCCTCTTCAACACATTGCTCTGAGTGCAGCAGTCCTTTCTTCCATGGCAAGAGTGTTTCCAGTTCTGAATCACAAATAGAGGTTAGCTAGCATAGAGAATCTCACAAAATAGAAATTTTGTGGCACTTCAAGTGAAGGTAACAGACTGCTAGCTTTGACTCATACTTTCATTGAGAAATAAATGTAACTAAAAACATGCTATAGGCTCCTGAAATTCAAGTTTGGTAGCGTGGAGGGGGAGGAAAAAAGCCTTTGAGATCTAGTTGTTTAAGCTTTTAATTGGAGCCAAACAATAACTAAAACATGCAGCTGATTTAGATAAAAATGGAGGCCCTGCTCATTGGCTCATACCAAGCAGAATTTCTGCAGTTGAGTACTATAGACATGTGATAACAAAATTAGATACGATCGAGGGGAAGAAAAATGCACAAAAGTCCTTGAATTAAAATGAATTGAAACCTTCTGGGAGAAAAGCTATTTGGTAAGCTCCATTAAGTCTATTGTAGATAGCTTTATTTGACAAAGCAGCATCCTGGCATGTGGAACAGGAAGGAAAATAGCTATAAGATGATCTGTCAGGGAGTTTCCAGTCTCTAAACGAATAAGATTCTGTGCAGTAGCCAATACAGCTTTTAACTCAAAAGAGATACAGAGCAAAATGCAATTATATAACCCTAGTAAGTACATTCAATCTGAATCTCCCATATACCCCTCTCCTCCCCAAATAACTCCTCAAACTCAGCAATTTATCAAGTGGATGCTCAAACTTATGGCTGCATTCATTTCAGGGTAACAGTGGATTAACACTGTATATAATACTGCACATATTGAGGTGGAGGCAATCCTACAAGTCAAAGATTAATCAGCTATAAAATATCTCAGCTAAACACTTAGATCATTCGAATAGTTCAATTATTATTACATTTTTTGGTTTATTCTGGCTATAAGTTTACAGTATGTGTTTGCAGTTATTAGTTCTCTGTTCTGAAAATGTTACCTATCCACTGACTGTAAAGGGTTTATTTAATATATATAGACACTTATATGTTTAGGGATCTAACATATGGCAAAAATAAAGGAAATTCAGATGTAACGGCTAATGAATGCTTTAAAAACAGTCTGAATGGTGATTTTTTTTTTTTCCCATACAAGTGAGGATTCTGGGATCGCGCAAGTGGCTAAAGCTGTTCACTTCAACATGCAAACACCAATAAATTCTAATTTGCATTGTAATCTATCTGTTTTCTGTCTCTCACACAGACACACAGACATACACATAGTAGGGGCAGTATACTACCATATCTCCAATGTTTAGCACAGTTCTTGGAATGTAATGGCTAATAAAGGAATGAAGGAATTCACTTAACCATTACAAAATCTATATTAAGATGTTTTTTATAATGTATTTCTTATAAACATGGAAGCTGAGGCTCACTGAGCAAGAAGTCCTTCCTAGGTCAAGAAAGGCAGAGCTGGGATTAGAACTCCTGTGTTCTAACTTTAGGTCCAGTGTCCTGTCCACTGTGCCTACAGACTGCTAAGATTATCTAGAATGGTTTACCTGAAGACGCTTATCTTTCAGTTGAGATTTTAGTTTCTCCCATAGCAATCCCTCCCCCCTCAAGATGATTTGTTATGAAATTGAAGGGTGCTCTTGCTATACTGTTCACCAGGTTTGCCACTTGAGTTCCTCTGGGGACTTATACCATGGCCATCATCTTGCAGTGAGGGCCTGACTATATTAGGTAAAAGCAAAAACCTTTACCCATACAGCTGTTTGAGGACCCTTGTTTGGTTCCTGATAAGCCTCCAAGTAACCACAATGGAAAGCAGTGGATAGGCAGACTCATATCTTGTAGATATTTCTGCTTGGTTTTGTAGATTGTTTTTTTAACTCTGTGATTTTTAAACAGAAATATTTCATTTTTATGCAGATACATTTATCAAAAATATCTTTTATGATTTCTATCTTTGGAAATCTTCAACACAAATTATATAACCAACTCCTACATCTTCCAAAATTTCTTTTGCTACATATAGATTTTTTCATTTGAATCTTCAATCCATTTATTATTAATTTTGGTGTAAAGTATAAGTGATATAGATATCTAATTATTTTTCCTAAAAGTTCGGCTACTTATGCATAAACCATCTTATGGTTTCTACTGTAGAACATATATAGAACCAGGCCAAATATAGAACATATATAGAACCAGGCCAAATATAGAACAAAGATGCCTAAATGTCCAGTGCTCCTAGGATAAAAAGTCTACTTTTAAGTACTATGATGGAAAATGGGGGTAAATTAAAACTACAAAAAGTCCTGTAGCCACATAGTTGACATTCAGCCAGTGTGTACTTATATGGCCTCACAGATTGTTTTCAGCTGGTTCCAGTCTAATGGGTTTGTGCCCATACCTTACCAGTTGTTAATGGTTTTAAAGCATCATCCCTTCCAGTAGGTGTTAGTTAAATAAAGCAAAGCAGAATTTTCTTTACCTGATTCTTCAGTTTCTTTTGTTTCTGTTGTTTCTTCTATTTCATCATCAGACATCTCCATTTCTTCTTCTCGCCTGATTCCCATTAATTCATCATTATGTATGTTGCGAATTTCCTAAGGTTAAAAGGCATGCTTTTAAGGTGGGAAAGCCTTGAAAATGTTGAGGAAACAAACAGAATTAAGGACAAGGGAAAGCAGGGTCTTTTAAAATGGATAACAAAACTTCGGAGTGGTCTTAAGCAAAGGGGCATGTTGAGGCTGAGGACAGTCTCAATAGACAAAACAAACTTTGTACACTCTGCCCTGCATAGGCTTTCCTTCTATAACCAGAGCTCTAGCAGCTGACGATTCTTGTATCCCTCCCATTTTAGACAGTACCGTTGACCGTGAAACACCTTCCATCTCTTACATGGATTTCTGGACTTTCCCTTAAGGCTCTGCCATGTTCACCTTCCCACGTCAAATCCTTTGATTTCACTGCCTTCCATCCTCTTTCCTCTCCCCTTATAGTCTTACTCAACACAACTTTTAATCAAACATCTGCAGATTTAGTAGTTTAGAGTGAAAAATGAGCTGTTAGGACTGAACTCCTACCAGATCAACCCTTCCCTGGTAATAACAACAACAAAAAACCAAACCAATTCCCTAACTACTTGATGGCATTAGAGGATGAACAAAAGCAGGCACATTCTGAAGAGGAGTTGACTCTTGGAAGAAGGATGTGGGTCTTCCAGTTTTAAAGGGACTTCTATTTTGAGAGCAGATGACAGCTAGAACCTCACACGGTGGTTAACTTTTAAACAGAAAATCCACAGGCTTTATATCCTAAAGAAATGAAGGAGAGAGTTCAGGGCAGCACTGGACAGCCATTGGAAAGTGAGGAGGGGATCCCAGAAAGTAGTCAGCCAAAGAGAGAGGAACCCAAATTCTGTGTATAAACACTGTTCAAATTCTGCATGATCCCTGAACCATGAAAGCACACAGCAGATTCCAAACCACACAGCTAAGGTGAAAAACTCAGCTGAGACTTGAGTTGCCATCAAAGAGAGACAATTTCTAGCTTAAATTCAATGAAGTAAATTGACCACTAAAACAAAAGAAAACAAACCCAACCATCTTTAAAAGGATGTAACAGAATCCAAAGACTTAAAAGCAAAATATTCACGATCAGCAGGTAAAACCCCTAATTAATTGACATACCCGTAAGAACTTTCTTTCAGAAACAGTAAAAGCTGGAAGTTAGGGAAACAAGTCTTTAAAGTGCAAAGTGCAAGGAGAAATAAAAAATATCTATTTATTCAGAATTCTACATTCAGAGGAAGATTCTTTCAAGAATAGAGATGACATTTAATATATTTTCAGACAAATGTAAATGTATTTGTCATCCAAAGACTTGCACTAGAAGAAAAGTTGAAGAAAGGTCTTCAGGCTGAAGGGACGTGCTACTGGATGTAAACAGATTTGGTATGAAGAACAATGGAAATGATTGAGATAATAATGGAAAAGTCACTTTTTCAAAAAATTCATGTATGAGAACTCTATTTTTGAACAGCTTGCAATCATTTAGAGACCACTTGATGCCTGTCAGGGTCTCCTCCACACTGAGCTGAGAATTCTTTGCCTAGGTTAGCCCCAATTGGGCCATAATACGGAAATGTCCAAAGCTGTCTGGTGAAAATTGCCTCCATTTAGGGAGATTATAAATATTTCAAATGGATTTCTTAATAATTAATGCTACAGTTAATCACTACTTCAGCTAATATTCTCCTTTCTCCCTTTTCATTCCTGTTATCAGGAAAAATATTTCTATATCAAGGTAAGTTTACACTAAATATAAATAAAAGGACCTACTAAAAAGTGAGCTATTCAGTATCATCACTGATAGCTAAGAAGTAATAGGGAAAAAACAGAAAAAAATAGAAATACTAACATAAGATCCTCCATGTGCTGCAGGGGTATTACTTAAAATAGAAGAAAATAATGACTTGCTTGGGAAAAAATGAACTTTAGAGGACTGTGTCAAGAGAGAGATTTACTATGTCTTATTCAAACTCATTGCACATAGAACAGTAACGGAATTGCTCATTTCTAAGAACTCATTCTATCTCAAGAGTCTGGATTTCGGTTATCAAAGAGCTGTTACTGGAAAGGTGATCACAATGAGGTTTGACACTGGCAAATTCGAACATTGTACAACTTACTTCATCAGGAAAAGTCCTGGCTCTCCTAGGTGCCTAACAAAAATGTAGACTGTCAGAGGGTATAAGCAGAGACTAACTTTCAATTCACAGACATGTTGTCTAACTCTGGGAAAGTTATTGTGCTTCTCTGAAGAGTAAATTGTACTCTTTCTAGGGAAATGTCCCAGGGCTGGAAGATCTAACTGATAGCTAAAACATGCCCTGCAGCTGCTCAGCATCTGCAAAGCATCTTTTCTGCTTACAGCTGGGCAAGAAAGTGTAATCTCTTCTTAGAAGTATAAAGTGTTCAATAACTAAGTGATACAGCTTATCTAGAGATCTTTCCCAGCTTCAAAAAATCCCTAGAAAAATAATGAACCTAAGGGCAAATTTTACCTCAATGCCTCAAAATACTTCAAAAACAAGTATTACCAGTTCCTTTAGCTGATAATGAAATGAGGGGAAGAAAAACTAAGGAGAGGCTTGCTCTCAGATAGATATTCAGCCAGACAGGCAAAGTGGCAGAGCTTAGCTCCCTCTAACCACTAGCCAATCCTTCTTAGCTACACAGAAACTAAGGCCCGTATCATTACTTTTCTATAAGTATAAATAAGCAAAGAGAACAATAGTAGTTATAGGGCAGCAGATGACAGTAAACATAGGGACAGCATTCAGTAAGTGACACCACCTCTAAGTAAAGTAAATGAGATTTTAATACTTTGAAAACCTTACCGTTAAAGCACTTGATATCTAAGATGCCTATTTTCTATATTCTCTGGTAGATCAAAAAAGCTCCACTTTTGGAATCAAGCCCTAACGAAAACCTTTAGAGTGAAGAACTGAAAGGTGGCATTTACCTAGGGAAGGCACTCTACCTCGTGTGGGTCACAGGAGCAGGCAGCAGGAGGACTTTGAGTCACTGAAGTGTAGGCAGCAAAAAAAAGAGCTGCCTCTTAGATTTGCCCCTTTCCCACCTGACTGTTGGATCCAGTACTGAAGCCAAATGAGTGGCCAATCCAAGGAATTTATACTTCTTCTAGACAGCAAGGAGATCCAACCAATCCATCCTGAAGGAGATAAGTCCTGGGTATTCATTGGAAGGACTGATGCTAAAGCTGAAACTCCAATGCTTTGGCCACCTCATGCGAAGAGTTGACTCATTGGAAAAGACCCTGATGCTGGGAGGGATTGGGAGCAGGAGGAGAAGGGGACGACAGAGGATGAGATGGCTGGATGGCATCACCGACTCGATGGGCATGAGTTTGAGTAAACTCCAGGAGTTTGTGATGGACAGGGAGGCCCGGCGTGCTGCGATTCATGGGATCACAAAGAGTCAGACACGACTGAGCAACTGAACTGAACTGAACTAGTGAGTGAAAGTTGCTCAGTCATGTCTGACTCTTTGCGACACCATGGATTGCAGCCCACCAGGCTCCTCTGTCCATGGAATTCTCCAGGCAAGAATACTGGAGTGGTTCGCCACTCCCTTCTCCAGGGGATCTTCCCTACCCAGGGTATCAAACCCAGGTCTCCTGCATTGCAGGCAGATTTTTTACCATCTGAGCCACCAGGGAAGCGCAACTGAGTGGCAGTGGCATGAAAAAACATTTTCCAGAAATTTTCATTTGTAAATCTCTACCTGAAATTGACTGGGACACGTCACTGATAGAGTACATCAAAAAAGGTAAGACAGCCCTCCTAAGGTTTTTACACCACTTTGTTGCCCATAGTAGACCTGCGATATTTTTATTTAAACAGTGAACTGTTAGTGACTTTTCAAAATGCATTATGATGCCTTTGAGTCTTTTCTGTGCTCAGTCGCTCAATTGTGGCCAACTCTTTGTGACCCCATTGACTGTAGCCCGCCAGGCTCCTCTGTCCATGGAATTTTCCAGGCAAGAATCCTGGAGTGGGTTGCCATTTCCTTCTCCATGTGGTAACTTTTTGTGAAGCTTAGATATTCACATACTGCTCCACAATGGAGGACAAAGCATTTTCAACATAGAATAAAACGAAAACCCTAGACAGAGGAAAATTCATGAAAAGAATCATCTTGGTACCAGCTGACATTTTTGATTTATCATAAAGTAGGCAAATCATAAATCATTGAACATTAATTATCTAACTATATAGTTTCCAAGAAATTTATGTGGACTTAAATTCATCTTACTCATGTTTTTTGACAGGAACATAACCATAAGAAAAGCAAAGTTCCTTATGAATTGCATTACAAAATTGTGCTTACCCAGACTTTGAACATTAACAGTAGTGGCGAAAGGGCAGAGGAAAGGGAGATAACTCCTATGCATATGTAGAAATTTGATTCTGAGATATCGTTCAAGCCAATGAACCAAAGCACAAACACAGGCTCTTAATCAATGTCTATTGTATGCTACATAATGGAAATACAAATTTGGTTGATCCAAATTTTGTTGGTATGTGGTTTGACGGCTGAAAGCAAAAGCTAGTGTTAGTGCAAATGGGTCCTAAAACGAGGGTATGCAGATGACTTGAACATTTATCTGCAACCAGGTCTTCAGAGTTTGGAATGACTTTAGCAATCACAGTATATCACTTCACAAGCATGCTATTAATAGTATGTAATCACCATGTCCCTTTTCTCTGGTCCAATGATATAAAAATTCACATCAGGGAGAGTGCAATGGAGTATCTTCCAGTGCCTACCATTATGGCTCTAGCTTCTTATATATTAATACCACCTAACTGGTAATGTAGGCCATGATCTCAGTAAGAGAAATACACAGGTTTTCAATGATTTCATAGAAAAAGGGTTCCCACAACACTCAGAACTGTCAGTAAGGTCACTGGAGATGCTAACTTTTATTAAGGGGAAGGACAGCAGCCTTCCCTTATTTTATTACCCTTTCAAATTATATCAGCAGAAGCCTCAACACACATCAATCAGGAAAGTAAACCAATGAAAAAGACTCATTATCAAACTAGTCTGCCTGGCAGATGCTGCCAGAGTGGGTGCCCTTAGCTCCCTGAAAGTGGGGACTTTTTCTTCATACTCTGTACCTTCTCTCACCAGAGTGAGCCAGTGTTGGCTGCTGGAAGAAGGATGACAATGAGACAAAGAACAGGTACTCTGTGACATGAGGAGGTCACCAGCTGGTTTATTTCCCGAGGCAACTGGCAGACAAGGTTCAGTGTCAGACTGATGAAATCCCTAGCTTAGAAGTTGTAGCTTTGATGCCTACATCAAGAAAAAGCCAGTTTAGTTGATTAAGTTACTGAGATACTCTGATTCGCTGTGGGGTTCTAAGAGGCAGCCCCGATTTAAAAGGACAGTTCTGTCACTTTCTATAGGATACCACCTTCTAGTCCTCAGCGTTGCCTGTCATCAAGTGAAAGTACACAGAGGTTAAAAAAAATTTAACGCCATAATTTTAAAAGACACCAATATAAAGCAGAAGAAATCTTCTAGGTTTAGGGAATACAATGCTAGAGCAAGGCCATGAGTTATGTTCCACTGTCAGTAGTTTTACTTATAATGATTGCAGTATTCAAGATAGACCTTAATTTAGTTCAATCCAACAGGCAGGAAGCATTTTTCTAGGTTTTTACAAAGTCTACAAGGCACATCACCAAACATGTAGTAAGTCATGTTGGCCATGTCCTTATCACTGCGTCAAGCAAGCTCTGCTGCAATCCTAGGTGACGGGGTGTGTAACTCTCAGCTCTCCACAGCCCCAGAGAAATGGCTAGCTCATCAGCATAGCTAAGTTTATTGAGGAGGTAACTAACCTCAAGCATATGGCCACCAGGGGTTTCCCAGGTGGCTCAGTGGTAAAGATTCTGCCTGCCAATGCAGGAAACATGAGAGATGAGGGTTCAATCCCTTAGTCAGGAAGATCCCCGGAGAAGGAAATGGCAACCCACTCCAATATTCTTGTCTGGAGAATTTCATGGACAGAGGAGCCTGGCGGGCTATAGTTCATGGGGTCACAAAGAGTCAGACATGACTGAGAGACTGCGCATGCATGCATGAATATAGCCACCAGATATGTGGGCTTGGCATAACTACAGAGAGCCTTGATGAATAGTATTAATGGAGACCATTATTGCAAATTTGTTTACGAAAGGGTTGTGGGCTAGGTCAGTCAGTGCTGCAACAAGAGGCGCCACTCCTATGAAAAAGGAAATAGTGTATAGGGTAGGGTTTTCTGTAATGGGTGGGGCACTTCAGACAGCCTGTTCCAACCCCTAAAAAGGATATGCAGGTATGTGTTTTGAAGGGAAGGCAGAGACTAGTACGGCTTTTCTACAATGGGAAGATATATTGAGCATTTTTCTCTCAACATTTATTTTTCTGAATTAGTCCAACTAAAGATTTTGGCTACTTGAAATTTAGGTGCTAAACTCCAACCCTCCCCTTGATCGCTTTTTAAAAACTTTTTAGCTCACGGAGGACAAAGACCACCTCATTCTGCATTGCCTGTCATAATTCCTGAGACAGAGAATGTGCTTAATACACATTTGAATTGAAATGTTGAATTTTGTTCGTTGGGCTCCACAACATGAGGTAGCTCTCGCATTCTAAAACCGTTTTGTGCTACAGTAAGACAATCACTTCCTTTTTTGATCCTAATTATCATTGTTTTTAACAATTACAAACTTTCGGGATTTGTATGACTCTACCCTCTACTGGGCTGAGATTGTCAAGGATTTCTCTGCAGTGATTCCTTGATCTCTTGGCTGAGCCAGAACCGATGGCTCAGAGACTGTCAGTTTATGAACAGGGGTGGGTTTATCTTGAGAACCTCTTCATGGTTCTCAAATTGTTGCCACACAGACTATGTCATGTATTCTCATGAAGGACAGAAGGGATAGATCACTATCTTCATGTGATAGGTTAGGAAACTGAGGTTCACGAAGACTAAATGACCGGCTCAGGACCACCAAGCAGAGTTATACCAGAGTGCAGACTGAAGAATTTCCAGTCCTGAACTGACCACTTACCAGCTGTGTCATTTTGTGTACATCACTTAACATTTCCATGTCTCAGTTTTCTCACATGTAAAACACAGACACTCTACTTAATCATTATTCCTTATGGAGTTGTTAATGATCAATTGAAATAATACTATTTCTCATTTATATAGTATTTGCATTTTCATACTGTCTACATAGTTCATCTCATTGAATCCACGTGAAGAAATAGGGACTAAGAAAGGCTGACCAACTTGCTCAAAATCACGCAGCTATAATAAGTCAGAGTTGAGATTTGAATTCATGTCTACTCCAAGTCCCGGGTTCTTTCCACTGCACCACATTTACTGGGAGGCTCATGTAGGTGAGATAACCAGCATGAAAGTGTTTTATAATATGTAGTGAGTGAATGAGTGAAAGTCACTCAGTCGGGTCCGACTCTTTGTGACCCCACAAACTATACAGTCCATGGAATTCTCCAGGCCAGTATACTGGAGTGGGTAGCCTTTCCCTTCTCCAGGGGATCTTCCCAACCCAGGGACTGAACCCAGGTCTCCTGCATTGCAGGTGGATTCTTTACCAGCTGAGCCACAAGGGAAGCCCATTATTATATTTATAATATGCAAATTCCCTCAAATGCTATTTAAATATTAAGGAATATGACATCCTACATTGATAGATACAATGGGATTGCAACTAGACTGGCAAACAGGACTCAGAAACGAAGTTGAAAAAGCTGCTGCATACATAGATTGACGGCGTCAGGGCTGACTGGGTAAGGAAGCTACCCGTAGGAAAAGAAGAACTTGAGGCCTATGTCACACCATTCCAAAGGCATATCAGTGTAAACAAACATCCCATCTCAGTTTTTAATCTTGGATTTAGAATAGAAACCTAATCCCATCAGATACATTCTCGTGTTAACGCTTAAAATGTCACTTGAGCACAAGCAGAGAGGTGTGTGTCCATCTTAATTTGAAATCAGAGTCGTCTGTTACCTTTAAAGCTGCCACCTATAAAGATGGCTGAGAGGGTTTGATAAAAGAAGCTCAGAAATTTCAGTGCACCAATGTACCACCAGGCAGCTTTTAGCTTTAATTGTCAAGATGCTCTAATAAATGTAAGACAGCCCTAATATCACTACCACTAGACACACAGGTCAGTAACTATTGTTGTACCCAAGACTAGCTAGCTTAGAGAAGTAAACTTTTAATTATTGCAGCTACATTTTCACTACTAAGGTTTCCATCCAGCAGAATGCATTCAAGACAACACGTGCACATTTATTACCTTCTGGCAGCAGGTGGTCAGGACACAGGGACAGGCTATAGAACTTGTCTCAGTATTTCATTAGGGGCTTGTTGTGGCCGTGGGAGCTTGGCACTATTTAATTCTAGCTAAACTCCAAATCAATAACTTGTTAAAGAAAGAAACTGTCCCCCCGAGGGGCTACCAGAGTAAAAAGTTACTAACCTCAGCTTGTTTGCACCAAACACTGATGTTTTTACGCTGGGCTTTTGTGAAGTGGTCCCAAGCCTTTTGTTTGGAGGCGGAATGGTAGACGGCTACTATCTGCTCAACTGCAGCATCAGATCAACAGTTGAATCAGCCCAGGGATGGCAAAAGAGAGGAGAAAAGAAATAAGAGAAGCATCAGCTTGGTGTGTCTCCTATGACACTACTCGACTAGAGTTGTGCTTAAAAAAAAAAATAAGGCTATGTGTGTTGGGGTACCATGAGTTTAAAGAGGATTCAAAGGCAAAGATATCAGTATACATAAAGAAAAAATGAACTCTAGAAGATTTGGGGTGAAATGGTGAATAAAGCTTTAATACAGGCAGTGTGTTTTCATTCAGGCAGGAGGCAAGAGTCATGGTGAATGTGGTTTAGCGCTACTGACCCAGTACAGCATGCGAACAAGCAGTGAACTATATCAGCTCCTTGTGGCCATTGGTTTCTTTCATAAACTAGCCCTTCAGAATGAGCCTGAATGCTTCATTTCAATGGAATCTATCCTCTTACTATACTGAGGTATGTCTAGCCAGAAGCAACAAATCAAAACCTAAAGTGGATGGGACCTATTTTAAGTTTACTTAGATAGGCTTGTTGACTGGAGAAATACAGGTATTATGCAAGAATACCACATAAGTGCAGTCCTACAAAATATTTTTCAGGGTCGCTTAAAATATCAAATGAGGAAATATGTACAAATATTCTGGGGCTTTATTGCAATTAGTTCAAGAGAGGGAAAACAGTCATGACTATTTTTCTGGGAAAAGAGAAGAAGGACAAGATCCTCTGCCTGGCTGGGTGTTCACAGTAAGAAAATTCAGAGGTGTTATTTCTTTCTTTGCAGCCCTATTGATAGCTTGTTTACTGATGATTTAAGGATTTATATTCCCATGAGGCTTGCTACTCTCTTTTCCCATTTATTCTGAAGTCTTAAAAACATATGCTTTCTCCTCTCAGATTCTATGACCATAGAACTTTCAGAATAAAAATGAAAAATGAAACAACTCTTCCTTAATCCTGTTTATGTATAAATCAAGTATGGGAAGTCAAATATGAGAAGACTAGTCCATAATTGTTTAAAACCAAAGTCAGAAAACCGTACCCTCATTCCTAATGTGAGTACAGTTTCTCAGTGAAAAGAGAAGAGTGCATAGTTTTATAATATGGGGAACTAAAACCATTATTTGAGAGTTTTTCTGCTCTGTCTCATTTAAGAGACCTTAGATAGGTTTGGTGTGGTACTAATTTTTGAAAATGGCTATTTCAGTGGCTTCCTGTGCCCTCCCAGGATCAACTGACATAAGTAAAGGAGATGTCAAAGGAAACTAAAGATAAAAAGTAGAAGTAGCAAATTTGGCTTTTATTCAATTACCTCAGAAAATATAATTACAATTTATCCCTAAAATGGAGTACCTGAAAAGCATACTACACAATACTAATGAGGCAAATCTGAAGCTAAGAAGCTTACCAATCCTGATCCTAACTTCAGCAGTGAAATTCTGAGTTTTCCACTGGAGCCTGAGGCTGCTTGTAACTTACTTTGAGAACCAGGGAAAGTAAAAGCACAAGCCTGTTGTCTAAGTGTCAGTGTTTCTAAGGAGCTGAAGTAGATACTCCAGAGAAAATGAACACAGAAAGTGCATACAAGATTCCTGTGAAACTGGAGCTTGGGCATTGGGCAATAAAAGGAGAGCACAAGGCAGTGATGAAGAGGGCGGTGCTCCTTGACACAGGATGGCTCTGGAGGCCTGGCTCCTGTCTAGAGAGAGTGATGACTAAGTGAAGTGCCCTTTCATCCTTCCAGCAGAACTCTGACTTCCACTCACATTGAATGAGAATTCCAGAAAGGGCCTGCTTGAATTTCTCCTTTGCTTCCTCCATGTCTTTCTCATGGGCAGCTTTCTCGTTCACCAGGCGACGGACGTGGCTGTTGGCCGACTGAATCATGGAGTAGAAGTTGTTGGCACTGCGACGGTTCACCTCTCCTCGCTCAATCCAGGTGAGCAAGGTCTGCACAGCTTCTGAGAATTTGGAATCATCTGGAAAAAGAGAATTTATTCTTAGAGACATCAAAAGTAACCAAATCTCCATCTATCTTCCCAACACGCTGGCAAGGAGGCCACCATGGCTTTTTGGCGACAGTTGTAAAATGAGTTGCTGAGGGCAAGGACCCATGCATACACGTGTGTGAACACACAGGCAGCCAGCAGGCAGATATGCTGAAAGAATGAAAGATTCCCAAAGTAGTAAGACTGGTTGTAGTCTAATCTATGAAGAGTTTTCCGAACAAGAGTGTCTCTTCTTTCCTTAAACAAAGTTTTCTTCATTGATATAGTTTCCACATATTGCAGTTTTTAATGCCTCTGTATGTGTGTGTGTGTAATGTATAAATTAGTGGTGAGAGAACTTCAGAATTCCATAATCTTATTTTTTAAGAAGCATAAGTAAACTTGAGTCTTGAGTTTAACTTGAATTTGATGGTAACTTTATCCTGGATCCATGGAATCCACTGGGAGGAGGCTTAAGAAAGAGTTAAATGGCTATTCTTTAGGTATAAACACTTATGTCTGACCTTTTTTAACATCACTCCTGCATTCAATCCACAGCCCCAGGCCTTCCACTCAGTCCCAGTCACAACCAATTTTGATGTAATTTTTTCTATTTTGACATTTCTCCATATCCTGTTTCTCTTGCCTGAGGATACCTTCAAGTGGATTTCTACAGCTAGTTAGGAGTCACTCTCTGATGTTAAAATAGTAGCACTGCTCTTCCAAAGCCTCTGATTCAGCTTTCTGACATACCACTTACACATTCTGCTGCTAAAGGCTCCAGATATGGAGAGTCCATTAGCATCCCACTGAAAGCCCACTTCAGGACTCTACATAGCTCTCTACCCAGGAACCCGAGGAACCATCTCTTACCGTAATGTGAACTTCTTGCCACTTGCATTTTTTAGTGCAGATATGTAATGGGAAGTCAGCCTCACCATTAGAGCAGCTTTTCATTTCATTACTTACATACCAGTCTTTATGTTGATGCTGTTTTTAAAAAATAATTGACATATACTTGATGCATCAATGCTCACATTTTGCATGAGGTCCACACAATGAGCAAATTCATTTTGTTAAGAAAAATTCAAAGTGAGCTGTTTGGTCTTATGGAAGTAGGTAAATCTTGGACCTGGTGTCTGCTTTCAGCCTTTCCAGCTTTTCTAACCATCCCATTATTTCTGTGCCTCTACTTTGGACTCTGTTTTCTGCTTTTCTCTTATAGGAAGACAAATCAATCCAAACAAAGGCTTTCTGTATTGTGTGGAACCCTTAGGCTATACGGTGCAAACAAGTTTTGTGAAAGAGACCTATTTGCAAAGTGGAATTAGCAGCAGCTTGCTAAGCCTGGAGCACAAGAAGCAAGGAAAATTCTTGCCCAATGCTGCTGTCATCAGTAAGACCGATGGGACACTAGCCCTCATCCAATAAAATCAACCATATGAAAAAACTGGATTTGAGCTAACACAAGAGACTAGGCAGGGCAATTAAGATTAAATTAGCAAAATGGCTCTGAGAGTCAAGCAAGGGGAACAGAAATCAAAACTAAAGGGAAAGCAGTCTGATTTAGCAATGTCTAAAAGTCTCTATAGTTACTGTGTGAAATAAGTTGACCATTTTGTGATTAAAGAAATTCTCTTTTAGTTGGTGGTAGCTAAGTCTTCGAGTAATCTAAGGACACACAATGTAAGTTCTGGCCCTCCAATTTTCATCTATAAAATGGAATTTTATCAGAGTTTCCTGAGGTAACGACAAGTTCTACCATCTTGATTTATTCTGATTTAGAATTCAAAACTAACTTGCTATCCACAATGAAAGGGGGTGGGGGAGCTTACAGGTCTCCAGTCATGGGTCACAGCTAAAATTCTCTGATGTGGAAAAGTGGAAAAAACCTGTTTCTTCCTAATCACCTGATGTATGGAGAGAAAAAGTAACATCACTTGAGACAGTGAAGGATCAGAGACACAAGTGAGAGGGACAGATTCTTTGGCTCTTGAATTACTGGGTACAGCTCTCTATCTGCAAGGCTTCAACACAAGAAATGCCTAGAATCCCTCAGTGGGAAATTCGAGGATAACTGCCAACAATACAAAGACATTTATTAAATTTCTCCAAAGAGGAGAGTTCTCCAAAGAAGAGAGCTAATTACCAAGCTCAAATGTTTCATTTACCTTTTAGTTTTTCAGCAACAATGCTGCATTCATGGTCAGAATAGTGGACCACTGGAGGCGGGGATGGTGGACGCAACCTTTCTTCTTCCATCCTTCTGCGGTGGCGTTCCTCTCTTGCTAGCATCCGTTGTTTGCATTCCCACTCATACAGATCATCTCGAGCCTGTGCAAAATCAACGTGAAGCCGGCCTGTGTCTTTTTTGTCAGTGCTAGAGCCCAGGCGAATGCGGTAACCTAAGTGCACAAGAGGGAGAGAGAGGAGCACCAGAGCAGCCCAGTGAGTAAGTGGCTGCAAGCTGCTTTCCAAGTTGCGTCCTTCAGATGCAGTCGCAGTGCTTTCAGTTGGCCACGTAACTCCAAATTCTCTCCCCACTACTACAAGGGGAACATTACAGGCTTGGATTATACTCTCTGTCTCGGATAAAAGTTTATTATTCCACAGTTGGTGTCTGTGCTCAATAGTGTCTCTTTGTGAGTCTATTGACCATAGCCCGCCAGGTTCTTCTGTCCATGAGATTTCCCAGGCAAGAATACTGGAGTGGGTTGCCATACTCTCCTCCAGGCTCTTCCCGACCCAGGGATCGAACCTGGGTCTCCTGCATTGCAGGCAGATTCTTTACCCACTGAGCCACCTGGGAAGCCACATAAAATATAGTCCAGGATTCCTCCATCTGCCACCTTACCTGTGACAGAGGGAGGCTCTGTGGGTAACAGTGTCAAGAACAAGCTTTATATGGCATCATGGGCTGGGAAGAATGAAAAAGCTGGCTTCAAGCTCTACTGTCTTTGGATAACTTCAACAGTGTCAGTCATATCACCAAAAACACTTGATAAAATTTCAATATATCAGGTTGACATCTCAATCCCCCATATTGTTTCCTAGACATAGTTAGTGATTCATAACCATTTGAGGGGGTGGGGTGGGAGGGTGCAGAATAGAAATGATGGAAAGTGGTATGTGATCCAGCCGACATATAATTTGGAATCCTTACAAAAAAAAAAAAAAAAAAGAGGTAGTGTGTTTATACTGGGCTTCCCTGGTCGCTCAGCAGTAAAGAATCTGCCTGCAATGCAGGAGACTGGGGTTAAATCCCTGGGTCAGGAAGACTCTCTGGAGGAGAAAATGGCAACCCACTCTAGTATTCTTGCCTGGGAAATCCCACGGACAGACAACCCTGGAGAGCTACAGACCATAGGGTCACAAAGTCAGACACGACTGAAGCAACTTAGCACGTGTGTGCTTATAGTACACTGGTACGGGACTGGGATTCAGAAAGCCGGGTTTCAAGTCCCCACCTCCATTTTTGGTCGCAGCTTTAGTACCCAAGTTAAATCTCAACAAAAAACTTTTAAAAATTACTGTTATTAGCCTTTTAAGTTTCAGAAGCTTAGCTAGGTGCTTCCACACACATTTATCTCATTTCATTCTCAGCACAAGCTTGCAGAGTAACTCCTGCAGAGTAACCACTAAAAATATGGACAAAATATATGAAACAATGGTTTTTAAGGCTCTGGACATCAGGTATTGAAGACAGAGATTGCTAAGAGACAAGAACCAAATGAAGTGATCACTGTGATTTCCCCAGCATATTGCCTGGAGCCAGAGGGGAACTCTCCAGGCCCTTTTCTAAGGGATTTTTGTTTGCTTAAATCTCTTTCTTTTACAATGTGGGAGAAGAGCCATCCAATTCAGGAGTTTTCTAGCACTTGTAAACTTTCAAGGAGCAGGTTCAAATTTAAAGGGAAAAATTAGTTGTTTTCACATCACTGATTGCAATCTTCTTTGCTTTGGCAGCCGTGAGAACATTTCCAGGTGGCTGTTACCAGAGAGCTGATTTCAATGTTTAGATGGATGCCTCCCGAGCAGCATGTCGTCTTTTATGCACAACTGTTCAGGGCTTTTCAAGACCTTTAAGTTCTTATTAAAATAGTCTATTGTAGAATGCTCTGTTATCATTGCTAAGTGCTGTTAAATCTTTAGGAGTTGGATTTTACAGCACTTAGCAAATGTAAAAAGAGCATTCTACATCTGCCTCCTCACTTCTCCCATGTTACCAGCCTACTTTTTCCAACACGCGTTACTTTTTCTTTGGCCTATTGCATAGGTATCTAACTGGTGCTCAATGATTCTTTGATAAATGAATGTAAGACTTCATGCTAACCTTAGATTCTTTAAGGGGAAGAACTAGGTTTGACCTGTTTTCTACCTTGCACAACATTCAGCACAATAGCTTACACAAAGAGGCGTCCAACAAGTGCCTGTTACATGAATGAAGATTCTGTAAAATGTCTAGCACTTGGACCTAATTCTTCCAAACTGTTAACCCTTAAGCAAGGAAGTAGTTAATGGTTCTATGCCCTTTCCAATTACTCCATCTTCTGCCTTCAGTTTTATTTGTCCACTGCCCCATAATGAACAATAATTCAAGATAAGTAAAAGATCGACCATGAAACTTTATCTTGAAACCACCCTAAAAGGCAAAGGGCTTCATTTTATAATGTTTAAGAGCTGTTGTTCACTTGCCCAGTTGAGTCCAACTCTTTGCCACCCCATGGAGTACAGCACACCAGGCTACCCTGTCCTTCACTATCTCCCAGAGTTTGCTCAGATTCACATCCACTGAGTCAGTGATGCTATCCAGTCATCTTATCTTCTGTCGCACACTTCTTTTCTTGCCTTCAATCTTTCCTAGCATCAGGGTCTTTTCCAATGAGTTGGCTCTTCACATCAGGTGACCAAAGTATTGGAGCTTCCAGTTCCAATCACCTCAGTCTCCTCACCAGAAACAAGTGACTTTATGCAGAGTAGTTCTTACTATCTCCACTCCAACTACCATAGTATATAAGCCACTATCAGTTCTGGATTAGACTGATACTATAGTTAGTTATCTAACCACCAGTCACCAGCATTCTCCATATCCTTCAGTCATCATACTTGCAGATATCCTTCAGTCCATCCTTTACATCAATCTATCACTTTAGAAGTGATATTTCTAAAATGTATACCAGATCATGTCACTCTATCCTTAAAATCCTTCAATGGCTTCCTGTTTTACCCAGAATAATAAACTCTTTACTACAGGGATACCTTGGAGATATTTTAGGTTCCGTTCCAGGCTACTACCATGAAGTGAATATCACAATAAAGCGAGTGATACATAATTTTTGATTTCCCAGTGCATACAGAAGTTATGTTTACACTGCACTGTAGTCTATGAAGTGTGCAATAGTATTATGCCTAAAAATGTAAATAACTTAATTACAATACTTTATTGCTAAAAAATGCCAACCATCACTGAGCCTTCTGTGAGTTGTAATCTTTTTTGCTGGTGGAGGGTCTCGCCTTGGCGTTAATGGTTGCTGACTGATCAAGGTGGTGGTTTCTGAAGGTTGAGGTGGCTGTGGCAAATTCTTAAAATTTAAGACAATGAAGTAGTTTGCTTCATCCATTCTCAGTAGCATGCAGTGCTGTTTGATCAATTTTGCTCACAGTAGAACTTCTTTCAAAATTGGAGCCAATCCTCTCAAACCCTGCCGCTAGTTTAAACAACTAAGTTTGTGTAATATTCTAAATCTTCTGCTGTCATTTCAACAGTCTCCATAGCGTTTTTACCAGGAGTAGATTCCATGTCATGAAACCACTTTCTGTGCACATCTCTAGGGAGCTCCTCACCCATTACAGTTTTATCATTAAGATTACAGCAATTCAGTCACATCTTCAGGCTCCAGTTCTAATTCTGGTTCTCTTGCTATTTCCACCACATCTTTAGTTACTTCTTCCACCAAAGTCTTGAGCCCCTTAGAGTCATCCATGAGGGTTAGAATCCTGGGAACGTTGGTATTTTGACCTCTTCCCATGAATCACAAATGTTCTTAATGGCATCTAGAATGGTAAATCCTTTCCAGAAAGTTTTCAATTGACTGTTCCCAGATCCATCAGAGGAATCACTATATATGGTAGCTATAATCTTATTCATTGCATTTCTTAAATAATAAGACTGGAAAATTGAAATGATCCATGGGCTACAGAGAATGGCTGCTACGTTAGTAGGCATGAAAGCATTAACAGCCATCAGAGCTCTTGCATGACCAGAGGCATTGTCAATGAACAGTAACATTTTGAAAGGGGTCTTTTCTTTTTGCCTGACCAGTCAGTCTGAGTAGTGGGCTTAAACTAGTCAGTAAACCATGTTGTTAAACAGACGTGCTATCATCCAGGCTTTGTTGTTCCATTATAGAGCATAGGAAGAGTAGAATTAGCATAATTCTTAAGGGACCTAAGAGTTTTAGAATGGTAAATGAGAATTTGCTTCACTTGAAAGTTGCCAGCTGCGTTAGCCTGTAACAAGAGAGCCAGTCTGTCCCTTGAAGCTTTGAACACAGGCATTGAGTTCTCCTCTCTAGCTGTGAAATTCCTACATGTCATCTTCTTCCAAGAGAAGGCTGTTTCATCTCCACTGAAAATCTGTTGCTTACTGTAGTCACCTTCATTAATGATTTTCGCTCGATCTTCTGGATAACTTGCTGTAACTTGTACATCAGCCCTTGATGCTTCTCTGTGCACTTTTATGTGATGGAGATGGCTCCTTTCTTTAAACCTTATGAACCAACCTCTGCTGGCTTCAAGTTTTTCTTCTGCAGCTTCCTCACTTCTCTCAGCCTCCACAGGATTGAAGAGAACTAGGACCTTGCTCTGGGCTCGGCATTGGCTTAAGGGAATGTCACGGCTGGTCTGATCTATCCAAACAAAACTCTCTTCATATCAGCAACAAATCTGTTTCACTTTCTTATCACTTGTGTGTTCACTGAAGTAGTACTTTCAATTTCCTTTAAGAACTTTACCTTTCATTCACAACTTGGCTAACTGTTTGGGATGAGAAGTTTAGCTTTTCGCCTATCTCAGTTTTCAACATGCCTTCCTCACTAAGCTTAATCACTTCTAACTTTTGATTTAAAGTGAGAGACTCTTCCTTTCACTTGAACACATAGAGGCCATTGTAGGGTTATTAACTGGTCTAATTTCAATATTGTTGTGTCTTAGGAAATAGGGAGGCCCAAGGAGAGGGAGAGAGATTGGAGAACAACCAGTCAGAACACACACATTTATCAGTTAGGTTCGCCATCTTATTGGGGTACATCTTATATGTGGCACCCAAAAACAATGACAATAGTAATATCAAAGATTACAGATTACCAAAACAAATAATGAAAAAGTTTAAAATTTTCCAAGAATTACAAAAATGTGACACAGAGACACGAAGTGACCAAATGCTGTTGGGGAAATGGCTTTGATAGACTTGCTCAATGCAGGGTTATCACAAAACTTCAATTTGTAAAAAAAAAACACAGTATCTGCAAAGCACAATAACACAAAGTGTGATAAAACGAGGTATGCTGGTAAAGATTAAAGGCCCAACACAGGTGGTGTTTACCTCTCAGACTTCATTTCCTGTCACTGCTTCTCCTTCATTTAATGGGCTCCAATCATGCTCACCTTCTCTCTCTGCTTGTACACACCAAGTCCATTTTCATCTCAGGGTCTTTGACTTTTGACGTGCTCTTCCTTAATTTGGAATGCTCTTCCCACAGGTGTTTGCATGGCAATCTCCTTCATATTGGTCAAATCTCAATTCAAATGTCAGAGAATGCTTGTTTTCCTAGCAACCCCAGGTGTGTTAGCTGTTTTTATCTTCTTCATAGCATTTATTGGTACCTGATATGTTTTGTTTACATATGTATCATATTTTGCCATCTTCAGAGTGTAATATTCTTGACGGCAAGAATTTTGTGTGCCTCAGTCTTTGCCATCTCCTCGGCCACCTAGCATTCTATCAGTCAGTATTTGATAACTAGCTGACTTCCATAGTTATTGTTGAGCATCTACTTTGGTACCAGGGTTATGTGCTAGATGCTAGGGTTTCAAAGTTATGGAAGACATAGTCTTTCCCCTAAGGAGTTCATGCTCTGTTGCAGGAGACAGAAGTGGAGAGAGAAAGTTCTCATGCGGTGTTACAGGTGTCTGTCAGGAGGAAGCACCAGGTGCGGGGGAAGCTCTGAGGAAGGGATGCCCAAACCAACCTGGCGCAGGGTGGGGAAAGAGGTCAGGGAAGGCTTTCCAGAAGAGGTTGTGATTGAGCTGGAGCTCTGGACTATGAAGATGTATGTATGGTGGGTGGGGTGGAAAGGTAATTCTAGTCAGAGGAAAAGGCAAAAAACACCATTCTGGGAACTAGAATTAGTTTAGTGTGGTTAGGACATAGTATGGGAAGGAAGGATTAGGAGATAATGGTGACAGGAAAAACAGATAATCAAGGCCTTTAATGCTACAAATAGGGAGTTTTGGAGTTATCCCAGGGCAACTGGGGCTTTCCCAGTGGCTCAGTGATAAAGAATCTACCTGCAATGCAGGAGACACAGGAGATGGGGGTTCGATCCTCAGGTTGGGAAGATCCCCTGGAGGAGGGCATGGTTACCCACTCCAGTGTTCTTGCCTGGAGAAATCCCATGGACAGAGGAGCTTGGCGGGCTACAGTCCATGGGGTCCCAAAGAGTTGGACCTGACTGAAGTGACTGAACACGGCAATTGGCACTACATGGGAACTTCATTTATTTATTAAAAAATTTTTTTTTCGTTTATTTTTATTAGTTGGAGGCTAATTACTTTATAATATTGTAGTGGTTTTTTTTAATTATTAAAAAAATTTTTTTTCCCATTTATTTTTATTAGTTGGAGGCTAATTACTTTACAACATTGTAGCGGTTTTTGCCATACGTTGACATGAATCAGCCATGGATTTACATGTGTTCCCCATCCTGATACATGGGAACTTTAAAGGAACACACTGGGTTGTAACTTACGTTTTCCATCTAGGAAGGTGAAAGGTTGCCATTAAGCCCAATCACCTGGGTTCGATCCCTGCGTTGGGAAGATCCCCTGGAGAAGCAAAAGGCTACCCATTCTGGCCTGGAGAATTCCATGGACTGTATAGTCCATGGGGTCGCAAAGAGTTGGACACGACTGAGCCACTGTCACTTGCACTTTTTCACTTTAGCTGCCACAGATGCAAACACACTGATCCCCAGTCTCTGTGTCATGCCTGGTGGGCACAGTCCTCATGACTAAACACCTACCAGAAAGATAAAGGGCTTTATCCACCATGTACTCCTCAGCAAAGCGAATGTGACAGAAGTTTTTTTTGCTCTTCCGAATAGCAATGATCTCTCCACACTGCTCGAATACCTCCACGATGATCTGCTCTGTCCCATTTTCAGGCAGGCCGCCCACAAATACTGTTTTGCATCCTGGTGGTCGTTCTCGGGTTGCAGGAGGTGGAAGATCTAAGTGTAAGTGCAAAAGCATTTGAAATTAAAATGTTTGCTTGGGACAGACCTCTTAGAAACCTAACATGTCCCAGAGATAACCCTACTGTCCCCATCACACTTTTGCTTTCGAGTCCCAGAAGCATGTGGCCTCTAAGATACTCATCTCGGAGTTTCATAGCAAATTGGTTGAATGAACTTGAGATTTATTTTATTCAATGATTTGGTGACTGTGATATATATATATATATAGGATATATAGGAGATATATATATATATATATAGGATAAAGACCCATCAGCCCCATCAAATGTTCTTTGATTTTGTTCTTTACTTTTGTTGTGACAACTCAGTCCAATTTTCAGTCATTTCCCTAAAGAAGACAGTTAGTGGAAAGACATCCCACTGGGTTTAAACTCTTATTTTAGGGAATTCTTAGAACCTGGGTCCTAGAGAGAAGGATTTGTTTAATTCAGTTTGTAGTCATTGTATTCTCTCTGTTCACGGTTACTGAAAGAACTGTTTTGGGGTGAATTTGACAGTGAAGGGGTGAACATTTACAAAAATATTTCAAGCCATCGGAACAATTTGCTTGACAGAGTCAGCCAGTGTACAGACCATCCTTTTTAGGTTTTTTGTTTTCTGATTCCAGTGAACTCTCTCTCTGATTCTTTGCTGGAAAGGTGAAGTCCAATCATGCAGCATTTAGAGGAAAAGTAAGCTTGTCTGGGAAATCATTAAATAAAGTGAGATAAATTTGACTGTAGAGAGTTAATAAAAATCTACTTAATGAGACAATTCTCCATCTGCTTTAAAAATGTGCTTTTTACTCACTTATCTTATACATAAAGCCTTTTGTATCCGTCAGCTCTGTGTTGCTATTTATATGTATCAAAGCCTTTTCCAAGCAAAACTCTACAGTTCATAGCCCAATAAAACAAAGCATGATGGTCAACGGTTTTCTAGTGTTGGTTTTGTATCTGCAAGGATTTATTTTGTGTTATCCGTTCTTCCCATTCAGCTCTTAACAATAATTCTCCCAGCTCAAGATTTGGAGAGCTCAACAACGAGTGATTACAGTTCACATGAAAAAATAAATGAGTCTCACTTGTGGACTAGGCCAAGGCCCCCACCTGACTCTTATCCAAGTTGGCAAGCAGATGATTTGAGAGCTCAGTTATCAGCATCTTAAACTTCCTCATTTTGCTACCACTGTCTGTCCTCTCAGTGTGGGTCAGAATAATCAAATTCTCATGGTGCCCTTTCCCCCTCTATTTAGTCAATAAAAGGGGTGGAGGTATTCTGGGAACCTACAAATTTTCTCTTAAAATTTTAAATGTCTGTAATTTCAAGAACCCACTACTTTCTTTTGTTCCATAGGAGAAGTTTAAAGGGAAAAGGAAGATAATTTAGTAAGAAGGAATCCGAAATGTCTTAGTCATCTACACTGGAGAGGTTATAGTTTTAGTCAAAAAGGAAAATCTCCAGAATCTCTTGAGACTTTAACTTCTGAGTTTTAGTAATTGGAAAAGATTCTAGACATCACTGTCAGTGATTCTCAATCCTGGCAGCACATTAGAATCAACTTGGGAGTCAAACAAACAATGACTAGGTTTCACTCAGATGAGTCTGATTTAGTGAATCTGGGGTGCAGCCTGCGCATTATTTTTTTTTTTACAGCTCCTCAGGCAACTCTGACGTACAGCTCTCGTTGAAAACCACTGACTTGGCCTAAGCTTCTAATACTACAGGGAAAAACCTTAGCTGAGTGAGGTTGGGTGACTTACTCAATGTCATGACATCAGACAGAAAGAGAAGGAACATGAATTTGGAGCAGTGAAACCTGGATTTAAACCTAACTTATGATTAAGATTTATCAAACTATTGTATGATCTTGGGAAAATTATATAACTTCTGAGAACTTTTTCATCTTAAAATAGGGATACTGTCCCCTACCTTACAAGGGATATTGTAGGATAATCGATAATCTACTGCCTCGACTGCAATGTGGTACAATGCCTAGTACTAGATAGGTTCCCAATAAATTGTAGTTATTATAGGGTTATTGTTATTTACTACTATAGAACCCAGGTTTCCTAATTACCAATCTGAGGCTTTCTAAAGTCCTACCACAAGTCTGGAATGGAGTGAGAACTAAGACCTGGACTTCTAAACTCTCAGTTCCTTGCTTTATTCACATCTTTAGATAAGGCTGGGTGTGGGAAGGAATCACTCTTAGCGCTAGAGAAACCATTACTGAACTGAACTTGGGTCTGCTCCTCTACCACCCACCCGCTCCAGCGGTAAAGCCAATCTACCAAAACCCAGGGTGTGCTGAAGGAAAGTGAGAGTGTTAGTCGCTCAGTCGTGTCTGACTCTGCGACCTCATGGACTCTTGCCCATCAGGCTCCTCTGTCCATGGAATTCTCCAGGCTCCTCTGTCCATGGAATTCTCCAGGCAAGAATACTGGAGTGGGTTGCCATTTTCTTCTCCAGGGGATCTTCCCGACTCAGGGATCGAACCCTGGCCTCACCCATTACAGGCGGATTCTTTACCGTCTGAGCCACCAGGGAAATACAGCAATTATTGAAGGGACCAAGCAAGGGATGCCCAAAAGATCCAAACTCCCCGACGGCTTTCATGGAAGGGCTTTTAAAGGCCACATTTGAGGTGAGGGCTGCCAGGAGCATGACTTTCTTCTGACTGGTTGGTGGGGAGGAAACAGGGTGGTGTTTGGGGAGTCTTAATCATCAACCTTCTGGTTCCAACCAGTCTGGGGTCTACAAGTTGTGAACACGTAGTCACCAGCTTCCACCTGGGATGGGGGGGAGGTCAGAGAGAAGGGGGTGTCAGCTTCTGCATAACAACTCAAAGATGTATGTCAGATTGTTATGCAGATCCCTTGAGGAGGAATTAGCACTCTGCTTTATTGCTTAATTATTGTTCAAGCTATCTTGCTTACCTGCTTTTCCTTTCTTTCTCTATGCTATCACTTCTCCAATTATTAATTATAACTTCTTGTACCTGCTCTTTGGCACTCAGGGAAGGCCTAGGAGACCAAAACCTTTTCCTACAAACAAGAAATAGGGGACATGGAGGGCCTTTTGTAGCCTGTAGGGCCCCGAAGGGTTCTGCTCAGTCTGGAAAACATCTAGAGTCATGTTTTCAAATCTAAGGCTTTAGAATGGAATCCCGTTGTTGAATCCTTCTGAAGTTTACTATTAAATGATTTCAATGGTAAATAATCTTCTTGTGAAGCAAATAATCACCTTTTTATAAAATGTGAGTTAAACCTAGTTAGGTCTACCTTTAAGTCCATTGAGAGACTCTATAGGGTGTAGTTAACATGGAATACTGACAATACAAAGGCTCTTTCCCTTGACTACATCTGTGGGATTGAAAACTTCTGTGATGAAATCACCACCCTGTTTAGATGCTGTGATTATTCTGTGGTGACTGTCTGGTAAGTAAAGGAGCATAAAAGCCACCAAGAGTAGTGTCAAGAATGCCGGGGATTTATTTATTTTCCTTGGGTAAATGTAGCATTTGCTGAGATTTAGGTGTATTGCCACCAGCAAGCCAATGGGCTGTACTAACTTCCTTAATGGATGGTACTTGTTCTTTAATTAGCAGCTCAAAGCACTTTGCTGTCTGGGCTTGATTTTCTAATCCCACAGAAATACAGTGATCTGGGCACAGCAATGGTAGCTCCATAGAGAGCAAATTCAAAGTCCACCTATTAATCAGGTAATGTGCTAAGCTCCTGTAACACCCCAATCACCACTCCTGGATGGAGAAGAAACTTCCACGTAAAAAGATTAAAGATAACTGGGAATAAAAAGCACTCTAATCTCTGGTAATGGAAAAGGAGGAGCTTTTGGTAATTCTAATTACAACTAAGCAGCCGCTCTGGGGAGCTGTGTTGGGACAATCAGCATTCAGATCAAAGTCACTGCTGATCTTGGGGAAGTGAGGCAGGGAGCAGCACATCAAATAAACCACTTCCACCAATAAACCACTTGCACCCTGTTTTTCAAAGGGGCATCACAGACCACTCAACTGGTTTGCCAGAATCTGCATGCTGCAAAATCTTTGAGTTGATTTCATCAGACAGCCCAAGATTGAAGGTCCCCTAGACAATCAGCAGGGGTCGGGTATATTTTAATGTAATCCCAACTGATTGGAAGTAATCAGAAGGTCAGCGAATCTATTAATTTATCCACTTTCTCTAATTTTCTTTATAGAGCCCAGCCCTAGGAGCCAAAATAAGTTCAGCAGGTTTTGAGATGGTAAAATGAAATGACTGCTCTTTTTCTGGCTCCTGGGTGCTTCCCCACATGCCTGCACACAAATAGCAGATGATATTCCACCATTTACTCCCTGCTCACTGTTATTTCACAGTAGATGAAAAATGTAACCTCTGCACACAGAAGGTCAATTAGCTGAAGTGAAAAGTCTTCACAGAATTGACTTGTCTGGAGAGAGGGTGTTGTTTCCCTTCTTATAGAAACTGAGGACTAGTAATTGGGAATGCAGTAAATCTCTGATAGCCACCCTGTGAATATAAAGTACCTGTGTTCCAGAGAGCTTTCTTTTGCCACCTCTCTGACTCCTAGGCTTCCCTGGTGGCTGAGATGGTAAAGAAACCGCCTGCAATGCAGGAGACACAGGTTCGATCCCTGGGTCAAGAAGATTCCCTGGAAGGAAGGCATAGCAACCTACTCCAATATTCTTGCCTGGAAAATTCCATGGACAGAGGAGCCTGGTGGGCTACAGTCCATGGGGTCACAAACAGTCACGACTGAGTGACTAATACTTTCACGGACTCCTAGGGGTGCACAGTCAGTGCCAGTCTAATCTGATCCATTGGATTTTTAGACGAGAACTGATTTTGCTGGGTCTAGATCAGAGAGGTTAAGCTACTTACCCCGCATTTCATGGCTATTTAGTGACAGAGATCTGGGATATGACACCAGGCCTATGTTGCCTTGGGGTTCTTAATTATTATACCCATACTGCCTGTTCCACTGAAGGCAAAAAACTCTACTCATTTGCTCTTGTTTTTCCTAATATACATTTTGAGGGACTTTTGCCTAGGTGGACAATTATTCTGGTGGTAGCTCCATTTTTAATACCAAGAATCATGCTTTTAGAAATGGATGAAACCTTATCTAGGCTATAATCTAGATCTAATCTAACCTATAATCTAACCTAATCTAACCCGATAGCCTCACTTACAGACAAGGAAACAGACCCAGGGAGGTCATGTGACTAGCCCAAGATTCCCTCAGGTGACAGAGCTGGAGTAAAACACAGTTCTCTCGATTTTAATCTGGTAGTTTGCTCACTATTAATATTGCAATACTGTTGTTGCACATTTGATGCAGATCCACCTAGAAAAGTCTAGTGGTAAGTTGGCTATATGTGTCTGAAGCTCAGAAGAGAGCCATGGAATGAAAAAATAGATTCAGAAGTGGTCAGCATGTGGTGTAATTACCTCATGTTCTCTTGACTTCTAGACCTCTGACTTCTCCTTCTGTATTCACCCATCCATCCCTCTGCCACTCATAGATATTTGTTGAACATGTACTATATGTCAGATACTTTTCTCAGTGCTGGGGATTATATTAGTGAACCAAACTGATAAAAATTCCTCCTTTTGTGGAGTTTGCCTGCATGCATGCATGTGTGTTCAGTCGTGTCTGATTCTTTGAGACTCCACGGACTGTAGCCCACCAGGCTCCTCTGTCCATGGGATTCTCCAGGCAAGAGTACTAGAGTGGGTTGCTATTTCCTACTCCAGGGGATCTTCCTGACCCAGGGATCAAACTTGGGTCTCCTACGTCTCCTGCATTGGCAGGCAGGTTCTTTACCACCAGCACCACCTGGGAAGCCCCTTTGTGGAGTTTACATTCTATAAATTGCTTGTTAAAAGGTAGTAAGTATTAAGTGAAAAATAGAGAGGTAAATAGGACTGTGAATGTGGCAGGGAGGACTGAACTTTTAAATAGGTTGTCAGGGTTAGTGAGGAAGAGACATTTGAGCAAAGACTTGAAGGAGACAGGTGAGTTAGCCAGGCAAATATTTAAGGGAAGAGTATTCCAGACAGAGGAAAGAGCCAATACGAAGGCCCTGTGATGGAAGAGTGCCTAGAATGTTCATGGAACTGCATGAAGGCCCATACAACTGGAACAATGGGTGTTGCAAAGGAGAGTTGTAATAGACAAAGTCAAAGAGACGGTGTGAGAAAGGGAGGCCCTTCTGTGCCTTTAAACAGACTTTGGCCTTTATTTTGAGAAAAGCAGGGAATCATTAAAGGGTTTCGAGTAGAGGAGGGGCATGATCTGACTTAGGTTTTGAAAAGGATCACTCTTGCCTGCTCTCTTGAGAAGACATTGTAGGGGGTAAGGGTGAAAGAGGAAGAACAATTAGAAGAATATTGCAATAGTTCAGAAAATGTATTATGGTGGGTATAAACTGGGTCATGGCAGTAATTATCATGAAAATGTTAGAATTCTAGCTCTATATTTTAAGGCAGACTTGACAGTTTTCTAACATTAAATATGGTGTGAGAGGGAAAGAGTAGGTTAAGGATTACCCTGAAGTTTTGGCTGATTAATTGAAAGGATGCAGTTGCCATTATCTGAGATGGAGAAGGATATTAGTGAAGGTTTGGGGACAAATATTAGGGGTTTTGTTTTGAACATATTAAATATGAGATGTCTATTTGATATCTAAGTAGAAATATTAAATAAGCAGTAGGATGTGAGTTCAGGGTTCAGAGACAGGCTCTGAGCTAAAAATGTAATTTAGAGTATCAATGGCATGGAGCTTCCCAGGTGGCTCAGTGGTAAAGAATCCACATGCCAATTCAGGAGATGTCTGTTCAATCCCCGGGTTGGTGAGATCCCCTGGAGAAGGAAATGGCGACTCACTCCAGTATTCTTGCCTGGAAAGTCCCATGGACACAGGAGCCTGGCAGGCTATAGTTCATGGGGTTACAAAAGAGTTGGACACAACTTAGTGAGTGACTAAAACAACAACAAACAACAATCATTGGCATACTTTTTTCAGTATGAGTGCAGACAGAGAAGGGGTCCAAGGACTGAGTCACATGACTCTCCAGTAATAAGTCAGTGAGAACAGAAGGTTCTCAGCAAAGCAGATTGAGAAGGAACAACCAGTGTGGGGAGCAAAACCAATAAATAGTGTAGGGTCCTGGAAGTCAAGTGAAGAAAGTATATCAATGAGTAAGGAGTAGTCAACTGTGTCATTCAGAGCTATTAGGTCAATAAGGAAAAGACTTGAGACTTGACCATTGGATTTAGTATTGTGAAATCCTTAGTGTCCCTTGTTTTAAAGGTATGAAAAAAGTGTATAGCAACTAGTGACATAAAATAAATACATATTATAATGTAGTGTCATTGCTATCTATTAATTTATCAAATATTTTAAAAGTATATGTCATGGTCCTTATAAATGACTGGTTTCCAGGCATGAATGAGAATGCTTGTCTAATTTTATGAGTGCTAAATGCATTAGTGTTATTAATCAAGGGACATTGTGATAGAGGGGTGGGGCAAAAGTCCAAGTGAAGAAGATTTAGGAGAGGAGAAGAGAAAGACTGGAAACGGTAAAGATGAAGTCTTTTGAGGACTTTTGCTGCTAAGGGGTATACAGAAGCTTTTCTCTCTTAACTCCTGAAACATCAGAATTCCTTAGGGTGTCCTGCTTGGTTATCCTCCACTTGATCTATACAAATCTCCCTGGTGGTCATTCTAGCAGCTTCAAATGACCTAATGTTTCAAGAAGGATGAAGGTTTCAAGAAGCTCTAAATATAGTAGAGAAATAAAGTAATGTAAGGACTAAAAAGTATCCATTGGATTTAGCCCCCAATATTTTAGTGAAAATGTATTAGAATGATAAATGATTAACTACTGTTTTAATTTTAGTACCTTTCTCATGGAAGTGTTTGGGAGATGGTAGGCTTAGAGGTGGGTTGGAGAAGCAGGTGAGATTAAATAAGAGTTGAACTTGACTGAATTGTGGGCAAGTAGAAATGACACGTTGAAGATGGTCACATGATACTGCGGAGACAGGAAAATTAGGATCATTAAGACAAAGTGTGTTGATCACCACCCAGTTCTACAAGGGTTAAGACATAACCCACTGCATTTGCTGACCAAATGTATCGTGACAGGAATTCAGGATGAAAAGCAGGATGAGGAACTCTGTGATTTGGACAAGCAGGCCGTAAGGCTAGTTCAATGTATATTTCAAGAAGAATTTTAATGACCCTACATTCTTGAAGCCTCCCATCCATAGCAAAGCACTAAAGTCATTGATTTGAGATATCTGTTCTTGGTGATTAGCAGTAACCATTTATGATGATATATGCTCGACTGTATATATTTCCTAGCCAAAACTCATAGATAAACTGAGCTCTCTCCTACCTGTTTGGAGTAGTTTTACACAGAGCAAACTGAGTTGCTGTCTGCTGGGCTGTAGTCCTCACCAAGGCCCTGAATAAAATTTAAACTCACAACTCGTATGCTGTGGGTCGTTCCTTAAGTTGGCAAAGCAGACCAATGAAAGGCTTTTGGAGTCCAGAATTTGGACTTTGAATCTGTGGGCAATGGGAACCCCGGGACTTTTAGGGTTCTGTATATGTGACAAGGACCTGGATGAAATGTTAGATGAAAGAGAGGGGAAGGAATCAATGGCAACGATACTCTATAATGAAGAAACAAGAGAGAAGCAGATCAGACTGGTACATCAGGAGACTGTGAGAGCCCCTATATCACCTGACTTTATTGCTGAGAGGCCACTGGGTGTAAGAGACAGGCGGGAATAACTACTGGGGTTTATGATTAAGGCTTATCAGACACAGTTGGTGGGCTCTCGAGAAGATAAGTCAGTCATACCAGATTCCTACTCTTCCCATTGCACCTGCTCTCTCCATTCACCTTTATAAAGTCTTGGGGCTGTTAACAAAAATGGTACTTTTGCCATACTCTCAGCAGATAACTAAGGGAGGCTTCTCTGTTAGTGTTTTCCCCACTCAAATAACCTGAGCCCCCTTTCAACAACATTCAAGTCTTAAAAAGGAACTAGAATGCCAGTTCACTTTAAGCTGTGTTAAGAGTGTTAAATTTTGAATTCAATTCCAAAGCTAGGTTCCCTCCTAGAAGCTGCCACTTTATAGGCACTAATTGCCTTGTCAGGACTCTTAATACAAAAATGAATAACTAAAGGATTGACACACCAAACATTTTGACTTGTGTGGAGAAAAAGCAGAGTATTACTTGGATTTGGAGGGAAGAGTGTGCAGCTTTTACAGTGTATGATCTCTTTTACTACTGGCATATCTGGTGGAATTGGAGGAGGTACTATTCCTAGGCCAGGCATCATTGGAGTTATTGGTGGAATTCCAGTCATCATTCCAAGAGCAGGATCAAAATCTAAAAAAAAAAGGAGAGGAAATAGAGAATAATCAATTATACCAGGCAAGATCAAGTAGGGATAGACTGTTACCTTATAAGTTTCAAACCAAAGGTCTTTCTAAGACAGGCAAAATATTTAAGAAAACACATTACTAGCATTACCAGACCTTAAATATTATAATTGTGCATTTTTCTTTAGGGCTGTTTCTGTTTGGCCAGTGATTATTTGTCTCTACATCTCATTTTGACATCCAAGGCCTTTTATATTGAACAATGTGACTGCGCCTTGCCCATTGATCTTGCCTTCCACTAGTTCCCAACACACACTCTACTCCATTCAGACCAGGCTTCATATTCTCCTTTGTAACACTTCCTGTCTTTTTGAACTATGCTGCATGGTGTTAAAAGCATATGGTTTTAGGGTTTAGGCAGACTTGGGTTCTAGTTCTACCATTTGATTAGGAGGATGAATCTTTTGTACCTCCATTCCGTCATTTGCAAAATGGGGTTAATTCCACCTACTTTTATAGGAATCTGTGAGGAATAAACAAGATGATGAATGAAATGTGCCTAGCATAATGCCTAGCACAAAAATGCTCAATAAATAACTATTCTCTGTGCCTTTGTCCCTTTTGTTCTCCCTGCCTGCCTGGAATCATTCAAGCCTCTCCAAATTCTCCATGGTTCAAGGCCTAGCTCAAAGTCCCACGCTCCCTGAAGAACACTTTCCAGATAATTCTAGTTCATTTTTATTTCTGTGTCAAAAACTGTTCTATACCTGTTGCCACTGGATTTTATTTTGCATCATCTTTTATTAATATTTCTTTCAGGTTTGCTTCTAGGGTGTGTGGGAGCCCTCAAACAAATATGTTTATGGGGCTTGTCTAGATACACAATTTGACTCACCCCAAATCAGCACCAGTGCTATTCTGGTAGCCCATGTGATACCATGAAAGAAATACCATACCAGCCAGCTGGAGTGATTTACTTGCCAGGATACTCTCCTGGAACCAAGACCCTGGGAGGACTTTACAGGCATGAGTTCAGAAGCTTCTTGGGGCATCTAGCATGTAGTTGAATCCACATGTGGCATAAAGGATTGCAGAGTGCAAAGGGGAAAAATGGGGACTGGGGTCCACACAGGTTCAATTTGAGACTGGGGCCCCTAGCTTAGATGATACTGCAAGCCTTGGTCAATCCCAGACACTGGAGAAGAACCTAGAAAATTTTGAGAAAGATGCTTATTACCATCAAGACCCACCTAGGATCTGCTCTGGACTGGGGCACCTATCCTGATGGTACCACCTACCTGGCCAGTCCTTGGCTCTGGAAAGGGACTTAGAAAATACTGAGACAGTCATTCCAAAGCATGAGGTCCTCTGATGTGAGGGCGCATGGCAGGGGCCCCACATGCCTGGGTCTAAAGGCAGTACTGATTTCATTGTTTGAAATTTGTCTCTATAACAAGATGCACATTTTTGAGAGAAGGGAGTGCATTGTACTTCATTTTCTCACCTCTCATTCCTGCCCTCTGTTAAGGAAGGCACAGTGTACTGCAAATGAAGAAAGTGTTGCATATGGAGTTCTGATAATTTAGGGGTAGTCACAGTAGCAGTGGTAGGTCCTACTCCCCAAAACTTTACCCTGCTCACCACTCAGGCCCAAGGGACAGTGCCTCACTGTCTTCTGAAGGTGGCTCTGAGCCTCTCTGGTTGGCTCTCTAAGATGTTGAAGGAGGTGCATCTAAACAGTGGGAAGAATCTGTGGTTCACACAGAAGCTAAACTCCGGGTACAGTTAAGCCCAGAAGGAGGGAGTGTTGTGACTGGGCAGATAGCAGGTGGGTGGCACACAAGCAATACCCATTGCAAGCCAGCCCAAGAGAGCTAAGACATTCCCCACCCTCCCATGTGCCTGTCATGCAGAGATGCCAAGACCCTGAACATGTTTGGGAAGAAAACATTTTCTTCTAAGAGGAAATTTTATTTTTCTGAAAACAAATTTACTTTTAACCCTCATATGTTATCTCACCCAACATACAAGTATCCACTTGTACCTGTATGTGTGTGCTCACACACATGCACTCACACACAGGCATACTCCTTTCTTTCCTCCCTGTGATTTTCATCTCTACTCTCTCCCATATGCTAGCTGTATGACCATGGGGGATATTTCTTAATATCTGTGTGCCTCCACCTCCTTTTTGGTAATAGTAGGGATAAATAATGACATTTAGCTCAAGGAATGAAAGGACAGAAGAGACATAAAAAGCTCTGGCCTGATAGATGGTGGTCCTGATAGGAAAATTTCCTTTCTTCCATTCCAGACATGTGTCCACACACTAATAAATTCATTTGTTCAGGCACTCACTTCCACATCCCACGAACATTTGTGATAGCCTCCTATCTGTCAGGTCTAGACAAGGGGGCAGGGAGTCCAGAACTTTTTCCCATCTTGGAGAACTTAGGACTCCTGACACTCTGTTCCTATGCTGTAGAATAAAAGCACTGTGGTTAAGAATGCTATTATGTCTTTGGAACATTTGATCTCTTGTGTATAAGATTTTGGAAAAATTGTTAACATTATTTCCCCCACTTACAAACTGTTAATTTTCAGTAGTAGAAGATCAGAATAGATTGTGTGCCAACTAAACAATTCCATCTATTTCTCCCTCCTGCTGAAATGTTTGTCTTCCTTTTATTGTTCTGCCTGCCTCCTCATTGTTATTCATATAGTTCTGTCACTCACAACTCCACCTTACCACAGATTACAGAAACATCAGTTCATTAAACAAGTTCTGCCACTTCAACTGAGAAAGAAAGGCCTGTCTCCATGTACTGTCTACTAATAAATGGAGACAAACAAAAAACAAATACACAGGATAAATATAACTCTTGACTGATGTACTCACCACTGTGCTGTTCAGTATGATTACATTAATATTTTATGAAATTCATTTAAAAGCAAGTATATTCATGACATATGGCTAAAACCAGAGTAGATAAACTCCCTTTCTTCTTTGCATTCAATATGCCAAGAGTTTCATAGGCTACACTGCCTAGCAGGGCTTGCTGGAGGGCAGGTTTTACATTGCACACGGCATTTCAAGGGCTCCTATCACACTGATTATTTCTTTTGTTTATCTTCAACCATGAAGACCAAAGTAGACTTGAATTTCTAATGCCAACATAGAAAAATAACTGTTTGAAATCATGGGTCTTACACAAGTATTGCAGAACCTGAAAAAAAAAATCAAAGTCCAATAATTTAAAATACATTGGGAACAGAATACCAGAAAAGTTCTCTTCCTTTTCCAGGTCCTATTCTGACTTGAGGAATACAGCCAATATGTAGATAGTATTAGCACTTTACGTTAGGAATTCAAACTTCTGAAGATTTGAAATTATTTTATAAAAGGGTTGTGGAATAGGTCAAGGTATCCCCTCAAAGTACTTTCACAATAAATACCCTGTTCTGTTTTGCTTTTACCATATCTTCTTCTAAAACCTTTTCCCTACTGCCTTCTTGATTCTTGACATAGCCGTTGGTGGAAGTGTCGTAAGATGTTGGTTTGTATTCCCCCTTCTGATTCATGTATTTTCCAAACTCCAGCTTGCTGCAAATGCTGTTTTGTATTTGGGCCAGCTTGCTCCTCTGAGTTGCAGCTCTATTACATCTCCATTACATGATTTTTAAGTAATGTTTCAGTGTAGTCTTAAGTTTTCCTGCTGCCTGGCAACTTGCACTTAACTCAACCTAGAGTAGTTGTCTAACAATATTACTGTCTTCCATTCTCTGTACCTATCTGAACCAGGGAGCTGCAATGGAGGCAAATGTCATTTCTATGCTGCCGTCCAGTCATCCACATGTCTATCCATTTGTATATCCTTAAATATTTTGATGCCAGCCCCTCTGCATGTGTTGAGGTTGAAGGAATGAGTAAGATAAAATCATCGACCTCATAGTTTAGTTTGGGAAAAGCCATGCAAACAGTTACAATGCTTTATCATCAGTTATTATTATCATCACTGTAATTGCTTATTGGGTGTTTCCATTGTGCTAGGGACTGTGCTAATATAATCTCATTCCAAACGACCTGTGGGCTAGGTACTATTATTACCTTTCCTTTTATAGATAAAGAAACTGGGGCTCAGAGGGTTTAGTCACTTGCCCAATGTTACACAGCCAGTAACCGAGACAAGACCTAGGATTCAAATCCAGATTGGTTTAACTCTAATGTTCTTAACCACTGCACCACCTCTCAGTGTAGTATGGCAACTGTTTTCATGAATTAATTTAATTATAGGTATAAGGTGAAACAGGTATGCTGAAAAACATGGTAGATGAATAACAAAATGTTTCTGTATAATTTTTTTCCCAAGCATGGTGGATTGAAGGTGGATACAAAATTCTTTGATTCCCCTTCTGTCAAGAGGTGAGGTCTATGCCCCATCCCGTTGAGGATCTGGATGGGTTCTAGAACTGCTTTGACCAACAGAATATGGCAGAAAGGATGTGGTGCACGCTTTCAGGGCCAGGCCTTAAGAGAGAGAAAATGTTTACTTGTCTCTGGGAATACTCACTTTGGGAGCTTCAGTCTGTAACTGAAGCTTCAGTTACTAGCTTTGGGAGCTTCAGTCTGTAACTGAAGCTTCAGTTACTAGCTTTGGGAGCTTCAGACAATGTAACAAGTCTGACTACCATGTTGGAGAGACCACATGGAGGGGGCACTAGGGTAAATGGAAAGGAAGGGTCCACCTGAGCCTAGTGTTTAATCTGTCCCTGCCAAGGTGCCATGCTTCCCAGGTAGCTCAGCAGGCCACTGGCCTCAGGACTCCACTGGCCAATGCAGGACACGCTGGAGATGTGAGTTTGATCCCTGGGTCATGAAGATCCCCTGGAGGAAGAAATGGCAACCCACAGTATTCTCATCTGGAAAATTCCATGGACAGAGGAGCCTGGCAGGTTACCATCCATGGGGTCACAAAGAGTTGGACAAACATTAGTCTACTCTGCTTT